CACCTCTGCAGAGTACATCAGTGTCAGACAGGCTCTGGTCAGTTTTATGATTTTAGAACATTTTAAATCCTAATGTTAATATTTCCTGTGTCACAACCATGATATAGCAACCCCATCTTCTAATTTCTGAGGAAATTATTTGAAATATTTAGATCATTTTACTCTCCTGAAGCAGGTTCTATTAGCATCTAGCATCAACGAAAAAAAAAAAAAAGGCAAATTGACAAGCAAGTCTCTTATTGGCTGTTGCCGTGGTGCTGAAGGTACTGATTGAGATGCAGTTTGACCAGTGTTTGACGACCAATGGTGGTGTGCAAGAAGGCGGGACTTAAGAGAAAGGTCAAAGCAATGCAAAAACGCACACAATGAATGGTGACTGTAGAAAGCAAAAGCCGAATCCCGGACATTTTCAAGAGGTCCTCACTGCAGCCTGTAGTACGATGACGTAGCTGGATCAGATCCAATACGTATTGGATGTTTGATGAGCATGCGCAGTATTGGATTTTAATGCGCATGCGCAAAGTGGGGCTGTCATTGAAGCTAGTATTTAATGTAAATTAAACTGTAATTACGAGATATAGGTGTGTTTCATAGGCTTACACAAATTATATTATACTGTGATTTTAAACTAGTAGTGTATTCAAACTTTATTTAAGCAACGATGGCGTAGTTTTGAATGAAAGAGTTTGGTATGTAAGTTATGTTTATTTTTTATTAGTTTGATTCATTTTAGAAATAAAACTCTACTAATTACAATTTTGAATCTCCTCAGAGAAAGAGGGCCGCAGCACTCACTCATAGGGGGAAGAACCGCAGCGCGGGCTTCCAAGCCTCAAGAACGAGCTCTAGATCTAGGAAACACGCGTGGAGATAGGAAGAGCCGTCTCCAACCCGTCTGCTAGATCATGTGCGATCCCCGCGATCTCAGTCGCCGCCGTGCCTCAGCAGCAGCGGGACCGCAATCGCAAGATCACAGGCACGGACACACTCCTCGGAGCGTGCCCGGCGAGAGCGGAGCACTTAACAGCACGAGCTCCGCTCCCCATTAATGAGGCTCATTATAATACCCTCCTCAAAGAGAGCCCTCTGAGAGCGAAGCAAGGCAGTAACAACTGTGCTTCGCTCCCAAGCAAACCACGCACAGGCTGTGTGTATCTCCTGTGTGTATTTATAACGTGGGCAGGGACGAACACACAACCTATAACGTGGCTTGCTCTCGCCCTTGAAATGCTTTGTCTTTGCATGAGCTTAGACATATATATATGTGTATATATACATACAGCTTATAGACTTTTCACAATTGACAGACAACAATAAATATGACTGACACACACAGTGCACTTCGCTGAATGACAGAAAGCTGACGCTGGCTCAGCCGCACATGCTTTTATAGCTTCCTGGTCATGACGTCACCCGCCCGTGACGTCCCGCTCAGCTATTGGACTGATTTCACACGTGATTCAGAGCGTGGTCACAGAAGGCGTTCCCCTAGCGTTTTCCGACGAAGCTCGAGTTCCTGAAGAGGAACCCTTGCTACATGTACTGCGTTAGACTTAATGCCGAGTTCACACTGCACGATTTTCAAACTGGCTATCTGGGGTAGCAGTCAGTTGCTGCTGTGTTCACATTGCATGATGGATCGCGACAGGGGGTTTCACACTGCATGACTTCACAATAGGAAGAATCGCCGACAGCTCTGTCTGGTCCGCAAACTACGTTTCACAACAAAACACACGCGAGAAGTGATAAGGAAATAACGCGAGAACCCGCGTGCGTCAGACCGGAGTTCTCGAGCAAGACTGTAATTATTAAAAAAATATATATATAGCCCGCAAATTATCTGTGAGCTGATTTCCAGCTACAAGGAGAAAAAGAAAAACAGATTATGCAGGAGGGAGATGCAGGGAACAGGGATTGGGTGTTCTGCAAAGAGAGTTGGA